ATTTCATTCTTTTTGATTGCCGAGTAATACTCCGTTGTATATATATACCACGTCTTCTTTATCCATCATCCATCGATGGACATTTGGACTTTTTCCACATTTTGGCTACTGTTGATAGCACTGCTATAAACATTGGGGTGCATTTGCCCCTCCGAAACAGCACACCTATATCCCTTGGATAAATACCTAACAGTGCAATTGCTGGCTTCTAGGGTAGTTCTATTTTTAATTTTTTGAGGAATCTCCATACTGTTTTCTGGAGTAGCCGCACCAGTTTGCATTCTCAACAGCAGTGCAAAAGAGATCCTCTTTCTCTGCATCCTCACCAACATTATTGTTGCCTCAGTTGTTAATGTTACCCATTCTGACGGGTGTGAGGTGGTTATTTCATTGTGGTTTTGATTTGTATTTCCCTGATGATGAGTGATGTTGAGCATTTTTTTCGTGTGTCAGTTGGCCATCTGGATGTTTTCTCTGAAGAAGTGTCTATTCATGTCTTTTGCACATTTCTTTGCTGGATTATTTGTTTTTTGGGTGTTGAGTTTGATAAGCTCTTTATAGATTTTGGATACTAACCCTTTATCTGATACATCATTTGCAAGATGATCTTCTCCCATTCTTTCGGTTACTTTTTGCTGATTGTTTCGCTGATTGTTTCCTTTGTTGTACCAAGCTTTTTAGTTTGATGAGGTCCCAGTAGTTCATTTTTGCTTTTGTTTCCCTTGCCTCCAGATACGTGTTGAGTAAGAAGTTGCCACTGTCAAGGTCAAGGAGACTTTTGCCTGCTTTCTCCTAGAGGATTTTGATGGCTTCCTGTCTTCAATTTAGGTCTTTCATACATTTTGAGTTTATTTTTGTGTGTGGTGTAAGAAAATGGTCTAAGTTCATTTTTCTGCATGTCGCTGTCCAGTTTCCCAGCACCACTTGCTGAAGAGACTGCCTTTATTCCATTGGATATTCTTTCCTGCTTTGTCAAAGATTAGTTGGCCATACATTTGTGGGTCCATTCCTGGGTTCTCTATTCTGTTCCATTGATCTGAGGGTCTGTTTTTGTGCCAGCCCTTTCACCTTCTTAATTTTGTATTTTGATGAAAAATGATAGAAATTCTTGATTTTAATACAGTTAGGTTTACCTGTATTTTCTTTTTTGGTTAGTGCTTTCTTATGCCTTTTTTTTTTTTTTTTAATTTTAGAGCGAGTGTGCACAAGGTGGGGAGAGGGGCAGAGGGAGAGCCAGAGAATCCTAAGCAGGCTCCAGGCTCGGCTCAGTGCAGAGCACAACACGGAGCTCGATCCCATACCCTTGGGATCGTGACTAGAGCCGAAATCTAGAGTCGGACGCTCAACCGACTGAGCCCCTCTTATGTCTACTTAAAGAAATACTTTATTTTTTAGAGTAGTTTTAGGTTCATAGCAAAGTTGAGCAGAAACTCAGTCAGTTAAGTGTCTATCTCTTGATTGCAGCTCAGGTGAGGATCTCACAGTTTGTGGGATTGCACCTGAGTGGGGCTCTGTGCTGACAGGGCAGACCCTGCTTCAGATTCTTCCTCTCCCTCTCTTTCTGCCGTGTGTGTGTGCGCGCGCGCGCGCACACGCGCATGTGCGCGCGCGCGCGCACACGCGCATGTGCACATTCAAGTAAACATTTTATTTTAAAGTCTTGCAAACCTTTTTTAATACATATATTTTTAATCTTTATTTGTTTTTGAGAGAGACAGAGTGCGAACAGGGGAGGGGCAGGGGGAGAGGGCGACACAGAATCCAAAGCAGGCTGCAGGCTCTGAGCTGTTAACACAGAGCCTGACGTGGGGCTCAAATTCCCAAGCCAGGATATCATGACCTGAGCTGAAGTCAGATGCCCAATCGACTGAGCCACCCAGGTGCCCCTCAAGTAAACATTTTAAAAAGTAGAGAGTTACTAAATTCCCCCCGTCCCCAACAGAAGCACAGCCTCTCCCACTGTCGTCATCCCCCACCAGAGTGGTGTGTATGTTATTATTGATGACCCTACATTGATACTCAGTTATCACCTAAAGCCCAGAGTTTACATTAGTGTTGTACATTCTCTGGGTTTTGACAAATGTATGACCTATGTCCATCATTACAGGATGCTGCATTTCACTAAGAGTCCTGAGTGCTCTTGTGTATTCGGCCCTCCCTCCCCACTGACCCTGACAACCACTAATCTTTTTATGGTGAAAACACACAGTTGTGTATTTTCAGGGATGTCCTGAAACCATACATTTGGAACCATACAGTATACAGCCTTTTTGGACTGGCTTCTTTCACTTCTATATTCTTTAACTTTCCTCCATGTCTCTTCCAGACTTGATAGCTGGGTGTGCATTCATGCGTGTGTGCATGCGTGCACACATGCTCAGTAATATTCCATTGTCTGGATGTACCCCATATCCATTCACCTATTTAAGGACATCTTCTTTGTTTTCAACTTCTGGCAGTTATGACAGAAAGCTGCTATAAACATTAGTGGTCATAACCTTTCAACTAATTTGGGCAAATACCAAGGAGCACGATTAACTGGTAAGAGTGTGTTTAGTTTTGTTAGAAACTGCCAAACTGTCTTCCAAACTACCTACCATTCTGGTTTCTGCCAGCAATGAATGAGTATTCCTGTTGCTCCACATCCTTACCAGCATTTGGTGTTTTCTATGTTTTGGATTTTTTTTTATGTTTATTTTTGAGAGAGAGAGAGAAACACAACACGAGTGGCGGAGGGGCAGAGGGAGGGAGAGACAGAGTCTGAAGCAGGCTCTGAGCAGTCAGCACAGAGCCCGAAGCAGGGCTTGGACTCACCAACCATGAGATCATGACCTGAGCCAAAGTCGGATGCTTAACTGACAGAGCCACCCAGGTGCCCCAGATTTTTGACATTCAGATAGACAAATAGGCGTGTAGGGGTAGCTCACTGTTTCAATCTGCATTTCTTTGACATGATGTGGAGCATCTTTTTCTATGCTTATTTGCCATCTGCATAATTTCTTTGGTGTGCTATGTCTGTTCATGTCTTTTGCCCATTTTTAAATCACGTTGCTTGTTGTTGAATTTAGGAATGATGTTTTGGGGTTCCTGGCTATCTCAGTCAGTGGAGGATATGACTCATGATCTTGAGTTTGTGAGTTCAAGCCCCACGTTGGGTGTAGAGATTACTTAAAAGATATTTTATGGGTGCCTGGGTGGCTCAGTCAGTTGTGCGTCTGATTCGATTTCAGCTCCAGTTGTGATGTCATGGTTTGTGAGTTCAAGCCCTGAATCGGGCTCTGTGCTGACAGCTCAGAGCCTGGAGCCTGCTTCAGATTCTGTCTTCATCTCTCTGCCCCTCCCCTGCTTGTGCTCTGTCTCTGTCTCGCTCTCAAATATAAATAAACATTAAAACACACTTTTCCTGGGGCCCCTGGGTGGCTCAGTCAGTTTGGCGTCTGACTCTTGATTTTGGCTCAGGTTATGATCTTACGGTTCATGAGTTTGAGCCCTGTGTCAGGCTCTGCGCTGCCAGTGTGGAGCCTGCTTGGATTCTCTCTCTGCCCCTCCCCTGCTCATGTGTGTTCTCTCTTTTAAAATAAATATATAAACTTAAGCAAATAATATCTTAGAAAATGATGTTTTGGATAACAGTCCTTTTTAGAATTCATGCCTAAGATTCTGTTCCTGTTCCTCATTCCTCCCAACTTTGAGGATGTCCGTGTCCTGCCTTCTGTGCTAGCAGGTACATTAGACCCTCAGTTCCTAGGTTTTAGAGTCTGAACTTGGGTCTAAAAATTCCATGGAGCATTTAGGATGAGCTCGCTCTGGCTTTGATTTTCTCCCTTCCCACTTGTTTGGACCTCAGAGAAAACTTCCCCTAAATCAAAGATCCAAAGTCTCACTACTTCTGGGGGCTGTGTGGGTGTGAGTCTGATGAGGCAGGAGAGTCACGTGGGCAGCCTGGAATAGTGGAACCGCATGCCTTGAGTTTTAAACTGACAATTCCTATCACCTAACTGCCTGAACAAATACACGTTGAGGATGGTGCAAGTACTCTAAGTAGTTTGGTCATATGATCCTTTGCAAATACAGTTATTAAAAATACTTTTTCTGGGGCACCTGGGTGGCTCAGTCGGTTAAGCATGCAACTTTGGCTCAGATCATAATCTCACTGTTTGTGTTCGAGCCCTGCGTCGGGATCTGTGCTGACTGCTCGGTGCCTGGAGCCTGCTTTGGATTCTGTTTTGTGTCTCTGCCCCTCCCCTGCTTGCTTGCGTGCTCTCTCACACTCTCTCTCAAATATAAACAAACATTTTTTAAAAAAAGTGCTTTTCTTGGGGTGCCAGGGTGGTTTAGTCAGTTGAATATCCAACCCTTGAGTTTTGGCTCAGGTCATGATCTCATGGTTTGTGAGTTCATGTCCCACATTGGTCTCTGCATTGATAGTGTAGAGCCTGCTTGAGATATTCTCTCTCTCTCTCTTTCTTCCTCTGTCTCTGCTCCACTCCTGCTTGTGCATGCATGCTCTCTCTCTATATATATATAAAATAAATATTAAGAAAAAAAGACTGGGGGTGCCTGGGTGGCTCAGTCGGTTAAGCATCTGACTTCGGCTCAGGTCATGATCTCACAGTTTGTGGGTTTGAGCCCTGCGTCGGGCTCTGTGCTGACAGCAAGCTCAGAGCTTGGATCCTGCTTCAGATTCTGTGTCTCCCTCTCTCTCTGACCCTCCCCTGCTCATGCTGTCTCTCTCTCTCAGAAATAAATAAAACATTAAAAAAAAAAGTGTGTTTATTTTGGGGCACCTGGGTGGCTCAGTTGGTTAAGTGTCCAACTTTAACTCAGATCATGATCTCACGATTTGTGGGTTTGAGCCCCACATCAGGCTCCGTGCTGACAGTGTAGAGCCTGCTCTGTCCCCTTCTTTCCCCGCCACTCTCCTTCCCCTGCATGTGTGTTTACTCTCTTTCTGTCTCAAAAACAACTAAAAAACAACAACAACAACTTTTCCTTTCCAGATGTGCGTTCCAAATGGGAGTATGATGAAAGCCATGTGATCACAGCCCGTCGAGTGAAGAAGGTATACCGGCAGAGTAAGGGGCAGCCTGGCTCCCTTACAGGAGCGTGGGGGTGAGGGTGGGGGGAAATGGAGGATTTTATCCTAGATCCAGGAGGTGCCGCAGTGTTGGACGCAAGGTAACAGAGTAGGACCGCTCCTGTGCATCCACCAAGAGGGTCTCCCATACCTGTCACATTCTCCCTAAGGTGTCCCCACCCCCCATCATGGCCAACAGCTTCACTGAGCAGATGCCTATTTAATTCCTTGATGTGCCAGGCACTGTTCCAGACCTTGGGGATACAATAGGATACAAGACACCCTTTGTTCCTTGTCTTCTCTCCTACTCAGGGAGCAGACAATAAACCATTAAGATAATTACTATAATTGAAAGATAGAAGCCACTTCTCTTCCCCACTTCCCCTCCCCCATTCCAACTTAAAAAAATGTGTTTATTTTTGAGAGAGAGAGAGCGTGCAAATGGGGGAGGGACAGAGAGAGAGAGAGAGAGAGACAGAGGGAGATAGGATCTGACCCGGGCTCTGCTCTGACAGCAGAGAGCCCGACTCGAACTTGCAAACTGTGAGATCATGACTTGATCGGACACTCAAACAACTGAAACACCCAGGCACCCCGCCCCCACTCCAACTTCTAAAAGAGACCGAGCCCTGAGTGCATTCACCACACACCCCCTTCCTGCCTTGAGATTCCTTTCTCCACCCCCACTGGGTATATCAAGTCATTGCCAAGCCTGCATCCTTCACTCAGGATCTGTCTCCATCCTGTCATCCAGACCACATCCTCCACTCTTGATTTCCAGGTTCTTTCTTTCTTTCCCTGGTTTCTCCTCCGTCTCCCTGGTTCAGCCTCATTTTCTCTAGTTGCTGTTTGAAGAAAACCACCAGTTTGTCCTGGGTCTCCTTCAGCTCTGTCCATGAACCTTCTTGCTCTGAGATTTCACCCAAGCTTCCGGCTTCAATTTTCCAACCGCGATTAGCTGTGCTGTCAGTTTTACTTCTAAAATTTTGTCTGGCAAAATTGTCCCCTCACTGTCCCACGGCCGCCCTGCTCGTGGATACACTATCTCTGTCCCCATGCTGCAGGTACCTCGCCAGAGTGGGCCCTCTGCCTCAGGCGTTTTCCTGGATTAAGCTTGCTGCTTGGGGGTGTAGCTCAGGGGTAGGGCATTTGACTGCAGGGTAAGCTTGTGGCCTAACACCCCCTACACCCCTCACCTCCCCATCATTACCTGCTTTATTTTTTCCTCCTGGGGTTTTCAGTTCTCTGGCTCTACACTCTAGCTCTTCATCCCCATTTCAGAACTTTCTCTGCCTTCTGCAGCCTGTTCAGAGCTTCTTCAGATGATGTGGGCTCCACTCTCAGATCTGCATGTTCTTATGATTCTGGAAGCTCCTTGGGTCTGGAAGAGACCTCCTCTGGGCCTCAGCCAGGCTGACGCCTCTTGGCTCCCCTCCCTAACTTTCTAGCCCTCAGCCCCAGCAGGACACACAGCCCCCAACTCGGTGCTGACAGCCTCCCCCTCTAGCCCCCTCTCCTGGGGTGGAAAGAGACACACAGACACACACAGAATTGGAGGCAGGATCCAGGCTCCAAGCTGTCGGCACAGAGTCTGACATGGAGCTCGAACTAATGAACCACGAGATCATGACCTGAGCCTGAAGTCAGACGCTTAACTGACTGAGCCAGCCAGGTGCCCCTCAATTTTTTTAATGAGACAGAGCACAAGCAGGGGAGGGGCAGAGAGAGAGGGAAACACAGAATCTGAAGCCGGATCCAGGCTCTGAGCTGTCAGCACAGAGCCCGACGCGGGATTCGAGCTCACAAGCCATGAGATCATGACCTGAGCTGAAGTTGGATGCTTAACTGACTGGGCCACCCAGGTGCCCACAACCAACAGCCTCTTAATCTAGGTAATCCAGTTCTCATTGCCCCCTGAGCCCACTGCTGTCTCCAGCTTCCAGGAATTTTTTGCACAGGGATGTATGTGAAAGCTTTGCTTATCACCGTATCCCAGATGCTCAGTCTGGTCCCTGGCATCTGGGATGAACTCAGCACCTGTTGACTAAAATAAATGGCTGTAAGCTGTACCTTCTGCCTGGAACATCCCCCCCACTCTTGTCCCTCTGGCAAATTTCCCCTCCCCCTTGCCATCCCATCTCCAAACCTTCCCACCTTCCCCAGCCTTTCTGAGTCTTCCAAGCTAACACGGCCCTTTCCCTTTGCCTTTTTGAACCTCTGTATCCCAGAACCTGACCCGTGTAAGTGCAGAGCGCATCCTCCATGAACACTTACACGGATGGGCACATGCGTGTCCAGCCCCATCTGTTCTGCTCTCCACCTGCTCCAGCCTCCGTGGGCTCTCCTCTCCTTTCCCCTTTGCTGGTGTCTTCTCCACCCCCGGAAACGTCCCCTAGGAGAAACGGTGTACGCTTGCCCTGCAAGTCCTCTGTCCAGCCATCTTTGTCAGTCAGACCAGGTCACAAGGGATCGAGTTGGGCTCAGGATCCCCCGGACACTGCGAACGAGTGAAGACTAACTTCTCAGCCGGTGCCCAGCCAGGCCTCCTCGAGCTCTAGAACACCCTTTGGGATCCTGGTCGTTGTTCCTGCCCCCATGGTCCACCATCCTGGTGACTCAGCGGCTCCTGACTACTCACGACATCCTGCTTCCTGTTTGCCCTTTCCTCCCTCTGACAGTACCTACAGCCATGTGCCAGGCACTGTTCTAGAATCAGGGTACATCAGCAAGTACAAAAAGGCAAAAGTCCCACTCTTCGAGAGGTTACACTTGAGCTTACAGCTGGCCTCATTACATCTGCTTGCTCGTAACTTCTCATCCAAGCCCTCTGTTTACTGCCAAATTTTGGATTTGGCTGCCACTGCCAAGGACCTTCCCCCAGAGAGAGGATGTTATCAGGGTGGCCAGGGTCGCTCCGATGGCACGTGTGCAAGGCCGCCTCGCAGGCTGTGGGCCGGTCAGCAGACCAGCTCTTCTCCCGTCAGGCGCTGTCTCCGGTCCAGTCAGCTATGGTCAGCCATTCACAGCCAGGCATGTGGGTGCGGGAGGTGCTTGGAGCTCAGCAAACTCTCTGGTCCCTTCTTGGTGCTTCCGTGCCTGTGCGTGCTGGGAACAGGCCCGGTCTGACCTCCAGTGCTGGTGCGCAGGGGCATTTGCTTCACCAAAGCCACCTGCCATGCCAACCTCTCTTGTGGTTTCTTTAGAAGGCAAACAAGTATCTTCTCCCGGAGTCTGTGGATCTGGAGTGCGTGAGGTACTGCGTGGTGTATGATAACAACACCAGCACCCTGGAGATCGTCATAAAACAGGAGGAGGAAGATGACAACAATGACGATAGACCAGGTAGGTCTTGACAGCGAGGGAACCCCTTTGCCACATACTGGGAACCACACGAAAGGCTCTCCCGGGGGGAATGCCTGCAGTGTGGGTGGAACGCCCCTGAGACATGGTCACGTCAAGAACCAGGGAGCACCCGAGATTTTCCCTGCCTCGCAGGACAACAGGCAAATTTCCCCTGCCACAGTGTCACGGGCGCTCACAGACGACATGAGGCTCCTGAGTCCGAGTCAATGGACTTTATGACTTGGAGCAGCAAAAGTAGCCAGAATGCCCTCATTCTTCTGCACCGGTGCCCCAGTCCTCCCAGGGTGACAGGAAGGAGGGCCAAATAATACCTACCCACACGGTGGGTTGTGTACAGGAGAACCCTGTATCTCTGATAGTGGGAAGAAAGCCTGCCCACCCCTGGCTCTGGAGAGAGAAACCATCCATCTTCCAAAGCTGTTTGATATACAGATATTCTCAAAAAACTTTGACCTTTGCTCAAAGAACACGTAGAAACGTGAGAAGCCATGGAGAATTGTGTCGTAATACGTAACATCCTCGTTTTATAGAAGGGGAAATTGAGGCCCAGAAAGGGGCATGGAGTAACTTGCTCAGGGTCCCACACATGTTCTCATGTAATGAATTACCCCCAAACTTGGTAGCTTAATACAGCAAACACTAATTAATTAATGGGTACCAGGTTCTGGCACGGGGTCTCTCCCAAGATTGCAGTTGAGTTGAGGGTCGCTGTCATCTGAAGGCATGTCTGGGCCAGGGTGATGTGCATCTGAGGTGCCTTACTCACATGGGAACGGCCAGGAGGCCTCTGCTCCCGCCACCCAGACTTCTCCATAGGACCGGTCACTTGCACGGCCTCACAACACGGCAGCTGGTTTCCCCCAGAACGGGCCCTCTGAGTAGGAGAGAGAGTGCAAAGGACAGGCACATGCCTTTTCTGACAGAGTCCTGAGACTTCCCAGGCCACTTCTGCCACATTCTGTTCATTAGAAGGAAGTAATTGAGTGCGGTTTACTCTGAAGGGATGGGGAATCAGATTCCACTTTTTTTTTTAAGCTTATTTTTTTATTTATTTTGAGAGAGAGAGAGCAAGCAGGGGAGGAGCAGAGAGAGAGAGAATCCCAAGCCAGCTCTGTGCTGCCAGTGCAGAGCCCGATGCGGGGCTTGAACTCACAAACTGTGAGACTCTGGCCTGACTGAAATCAAGTCAGATGCTCAACAGACAGAGCCACTCAGGCACCCCTCAACCCCTTTATTTGTTGATTTTTAATGTTTGTTTATTTTGAGAGAGAGAAAGCGAGCACGTGTGAGCGGGGAGGGGCAGAAAGAGAGGGATAGGGGCACAGAGGCTCTGTTTCTTCTGGCTCAGCTGTGAATGTGCGTGGGTGTTTCCGTGGCCCAGGGTGTTCACCAGAGTGGTCACTAGGTGGCGCCAGACTTTCACCTTTAATGAAACCAGTCTTCCCCGGCGGTCCTTAGCCAGGAATTTGTGCCCTCACCCCAAGCTTATCTTGTGGGGCTCCAGTCTGCAATCCTAAGATTGCGGGCTGGACCCTAAAACCATAGGAAATGGTTGTCAATAAAGATAACCCCTCTACGTCCCAAAACTGACCTCATCTTGCCACGGAACCCTCATTCTCACTCCGTTAGGAAACCACAACCGCAAAACAACATAGCAAGACCTCAAACCACGTGCACACACATGTATATCCACACCTTGCCCAATCAAGGCACTTTTTTTCTCCTTTAAAATGGCATCTTTCAGGTGAACACAGAGTCTTTGGGGTAAAAGATCATTTCGAGGTTTTTCTCACGATCCCTTTCCCCTTCCTTTTGTTAAGCACCCACCTCCCCACCCCCCAAGGCAATTTGTCTGTGGGTAGAGCCTTCATCACATCCTAGAAGCAGGATTCCATCTCTCCTGCCCTCCTGGTGCATGCAGCTCACACGTGTGGCCCGTGGTCACAGGCCTCTGTTCTTGCTGTGTCTGTGTGTCCCCATCTAGGGTGAGTCACGAATGGTTCCCTGCCCCCAGCTCTGTGCCCTCCTTCCCAGGCTTTCCACAGGAGCTGCTGGCCCTTGGGCTGTTGCTACTTCTATCCAGGGTTCAGTTAGCCACCCTCCTGCCCTGCTGTGGCGGAGACAGGGCACAGGTGGTTTGTAGGGCCCCCAGCCCCCGCAGAGGGGGTGTTTTCACTTTCTCAGCTGGATCTCTTCTTAGGAACCTGGAGAGTACCTTTCCTTGTCTTGGCGTCTGGGGTTCTTTCTTTCCTTTTTAATATTTGTTTATTTTATTATTTTATTTTATTATTTTTTTTTGCGAGAGAGAGTGAGCGGGGGGAGAGAGAGAGAGAGACAGGCAGAGAGACAGAGAGAATCCCAAGCAGGCTCCAAACTCAGCGTAGAACCCGATGTGGGGCACAAACCATGAGGTCACGACCTGAGTCGAAATCAAGAGTTGGGTGTTTAATGGACTGAGCCACCCTCAGTGGGACTGTGCCCTGGGGCTCTTTCTCTAAACTCCTTTGACCAGGCCAAGGGCAGCCCCCTTCTTGTAGGAAAGACATTTTCCTTATGTTAAATCACTCTTCCTTCCCTGTAACATGTGGATTATAGACCTCCCCCTGCCTCGCCACCTCGGGCTCTTGACAGGTGTGGGTAGAGTTCCCCGGGCCAGGCATTCACAACAACCATGGCAGGAAGCTTTGGGAATTTGGTTGTTTCTTTTTCCTTCCTCTCTCCACACAGCCTGACTTTCCAGCCAATAGTCTGGCCAAGGACCAAAAATAATTGAACTTTGAGCTCCCTGCTGAGCAGTGAGCCCCTTGGCCTGGATGGCATCCTCCAGCCTCCTGAAGCAGTGGGTGCCCCAGTTTAACTGGGGAGTCAGTGGAGAATTCAGGGTTAATGAGATTAAAACTGAATTTAAGGTTTTAAATATATTAACCCCGTGATATCCATGGCCGGGCAGCCTGGGCCCCAGGCCGTTCTCCTGGCTTTCCCCTGGAATCTCTAATTACTCTCCTGGAAATTGGCCTTCCTCCACTGACCCGGGTCATGTGACCTTGACAGGGGAGCAGCTGTCTGGTTAAAGGCGGCAGCAGCACGTCCTGGGACTCCCTTCTCCTGGGCCCTCTGACCCTTTAGCCATTATTCAGCCTCTCACTCAAGAGGGAGGTGGTGCCTTCTAGGGTAGGGTCTGGCTCCTGTCTTATCAGACGGGTTCTCTCCTGGCCTGGTTGCTGACTCCAGGTTCTTTCTCCCGATGTCGTCTCTTTAGACAGGTCTGGAGGCTGCTGTTGGGCTCAGCAGCCCCTGCTGGAAGTGGCTTTCTCTCTCTCTGGACAAAGGTTCAATATAGAAGTCCAAGTCTACCCTTCCCTTTCCCCGTTAGCCGGCTAGCAACTTCAGAATCTGCTGCGCGATGTTTATCTTTAGGGCTCAGATCCAGACCTTGGGGTATCTTGGCTTGGCCTTAATTATGTAAACTTCCTGTCATATGTATATATCTAATTTGCACGCGGTCTCCTAATGATTGTGTGGATCAGCGAGGGCATTTAAGATTAACATATTGTCAAAACCACAATGAACTATCATTTCACACCCACTAGAAGGGCCATGATCCAAAAGATGGATGTCAACAAGCATCAATGAGTATGTGGAGAAATGGAACATGCCTGCATTGCATAACTGGTCTGAGTGTAAGATGGTGTTGATGCTGTGGAACAGTTTGGTGTTTCCTTCCAGAAGTTCAACATAGGGGTGCCTGGGTGGCTCATTCGGTTCAGCGTCTGACTTTGGCTCAGGTCATGATCTCACAATTCGTGAGCTCGAGTCCCGCTTCGGGCTCTGTGCTGACAGAGCCTGGAGCCTGCTTCAGACTCGCTCTCGCTCTCGCTCTCGCTCTCTCTGTCTCTCTGTGCCCTCTCCAGCTCATGCTCTGCCTCTCTCTCTTTCTCTCTCTTAAAAATAAGTAAACCTTTAAAAAAAAAGTTCAATAGAGAGCTACCGTATGATTCAGTTCCGCTCCTAGGTACGTACATGAAAACATGTGCCCACGGAATCTTGCGCACAGGGGCTCACAGCAGCACCATCCACAATCCACGATAGCCCAGACACGGGCATGATCCTATGTGCATTGGCAAGTGAATGGGTAAACCAAAAGGCACACGATGGAGTAGTATAGTCAGTGCTAAAAAGGAACAGGGTACTGGTCCACACTACAACATGGATGAAATTTGAAGACCTTATGCTAGGTGAAAGAAGCCAGACCCAAAATGTCATATTCACAATTCCCTTTGTATAAAAAGTCCAGAATGGGCAAATCCTTAGAGAGAAATTAGATCAGTGGTTGCCTCCTACTGGATGTTTGAAGAGAAATAAGGAGTGAAATCTTCTAATTGGTGCAGGACACCTCTGTGAATACACTGAAAACCATTACCTTCTATGCTTTAACTAGGTGGCTTATCTGGTATATGATATGTGTCATATATACATTAGAGAGAGCTCTCTTATGTTAAGTCATCTTTCCTTGCAATAATATGGGGGTCTATATAATCTAAGAGTTTACAGAAAAGAAGGATTGACAATTAGTAGCAAATGGCTTTTTAAAGTTTATTTTTTAATGTTTATTTTTGCGAGAGCGTGAGCAAGCAGGGGCAGAGAGAAAGAGAGAGACAGAACCCGAAGCAGGCTCCAGGCTCTGAGCTGTCAGCACAGAGCCCGATGTGGGGCTCCATTGCACCAACTGCGAGATCATGATCTGAGCCAAAGTCGGGTGCTTAACTGACTGAGCCACCCAGATGCCCCTTAAATTTCAGTTGTTAACACTTCTTTCCATTTATATTTGCTCAGTTTCCTATACCATTGCTTTTCCAGACAGGTGGCCATCTGTTGGAGCTCTGGGTGAATGGTGAGCACAGAGGGGACATTCACTCTTTGGTCTCCACTCTTAGGACTGATGCCTGGAGCTGCCGTTGAGTGTGGCAGAGCCCTGGCCCACCTCACCCGCCACCCAGTCTGCATCCTGAAGGGAGGCTATCAGAGCTTCTCGGCCATGTACCACTTCTTCCGGACGCAGAAGATCATCTGGATGCCGCAGGTAAGGCAAGGTGCCCAGCACAGGCAGGCTTTGGTGGGAGCCAGCCTTACCCCGGGATGGAAGGGTAGGGAGCTGGGGTAGGGGAAAGATGGAAAGGATGTAGGGGACTGTGCTTGGGAAATGAACTTGGGGCAGCCAGGAGGTCCAGGCCACTGTGATAGATTTATTATCGCCAGATTCAAGCCAGAGTTAGCGTGGTGTTTAAGAGGTAGGGCCCGTCCAGAACGTAGGGCTCCCTGAGGGGAGGGGGCTCCGGATGGTGGGCCATCATCAAAGACCAGCAGGGGCGCCACAATTTGAGGCTGCCTCTCCATTTGCAGCTGTCTGGACCCACAGGCTCTGGCTGGTCCAGAGGACCCAAAAAAGGGTGAGCTAGCATCCGCGACTATGAGGAGTTCTTTGCTAGTGGGGGAGACAAGGGGCGCCCCAGGTATCTGTAGCCTCCAGAGGCACCTCCTGGAGCCAAAGGGGAAGGAAGAGGAGCTGGTGGGCAGAGGTGGGTAGATGGCGCTTGAGGCAGGCAAGGGGTGGCCTTGACCCCACAGGCAGGGAGGGGGCTGGTCCCTGGAGGGCAGTATCAGGTTTATTGATGAGTCTGAAGAGAGTGGAATGTAAACATAGCCAGTGGGTGGGTGAAGGGGATTTCTTCTTTCCCATAATTGCCTTTAGCTTTTTGTTCATGGCAACATTTTAGGCTGATTCCATAAATTCTGGCCACTTCCAATCTAATCCTAAAATGGGGAAGTGTCCACATTAACTGGATCTTTTTAGAGATACATGGTGAAATATTTATGGGTAAAACAATATAACATCTGGAACTTCCTTCAGAGTAATCCAGGATGCGGTGGGAAATTGGTGAGGGAATAGAGAAAATATAGTTGGCTGCTAATTGATCATGTTCACAGATGAGTGACCTTCGCGGGGGTTTGTGATGTTGTATGTCTCTACTCTTGTATATTTTTGAAATAATTAAAAATTTTTTAATGTTTATTTTTGAGAGAGAGAGAGACAGAGCACGAGCAGGGGAGGGGCAGAGAGAGCAGGAGACACAGAATCGAAAACAGGTTCCAGGCTCTGAGCTGTAGGCACAGAGCCCGACGCGGGGCTCAAACCCAGGAACCATGAGATCATAACCTGAGCCGAGGTTGGACACTCAACTGACTGAGCCACCCAAACGCCCCTGAAATAACTGTTTTGAAGGAGAGTGAAAAGATGGAGTCCAGTGCAAGCTAGGCTTGTGTGCCATTCCAATCTCAGATCGGGATCAAATCTCATTTCTTCCCATCCCACAGAGCTGGACAGACAGTCTTCAGTTTGCTGGGGGTGGGAATCACGGAGGGGGGTGGTTAGCTTCAGGGACATCTGTTCTCTTGCCGGGGCTCCTGGGCCCGTGACTGTGGTGCTGGGGGTCCAGAGTGGGGCCAGCCTTGTGGGACTGGCCGCCCTCAGTGGTGGGAAAACACTTTCTCACTCTGGCCCAGCCTTGTTCTGTCTGTTGCCGGTGACCTTAGCCTCTGGTTTTCTTGGGCCCAGGCTCAGGGGCCCTGGTTATTACTAAGGATCTTTCAGAGAAAGCCAGCTGAGATCTCCTGCCAGAAGCACCCCCAATTCCTTGTTTTCCTCCGATGGTCCATGCCCTCTGACCACATCCACACTCCTTCACCCGAGTCCCTGAAGGGGCCACAAGGGAGTGATGGTTAGGAAAGAGACTGAGGCCGACCTCGCTGTAGCCCCTCCTTACCTTGCTGACTCAGCTGCCCCAGCCAGCCCTTGCAGAAAGGCCGAGACTCCTGTCTGAGGTTGTCTGTTTTCCCATGGCCAAGGTACTCGAGTCTCCCTGCCCTCCTTCCTCTGATATAACCATGGTTTGCTTTTCAGCTCACGAGGTATATATCCCATCTCCCCATCCTGCCAGGCATCCCTTGCTTGGAGAGGAGCCTCCCTTCTTGGCTTTTTAGTGTATGAAATAAGTATTTCTCTGCAAACATTACACTGCTGATAACTCACCCCCTGCTCTTAAAAAAAAAAAAAAAAAGCTTTAGTAAGGTATAATTGACATAGGATGAACTGCACATATTTCAATGTACATTTTGGTCAGCGTTGACGTGTATATACACCTGTGACTTGCCCTTGGCCCCAGTCTTTTTTTTCTTATGTTTATTTTTTAAATTTATTTTAACTTTTTAACGTTTATTCATTTTTGACAGAGACAGAGTACACGTTGGGGAGGGGCAGAGAGAGAGAGAGAGGGAGACAGAACCCGAAGCAGGCTCCAGGCTCTGAGCTGTCAGCACAGAGACCAGCACAGGGCTGGAAGCATGAGTTGTGAGATCGTGACCTGAGCTGAAGTCGGACGCCTAATCGACTGAGCCACCCAGGCACCCTGGTTTATTTATTTTTTTTTGAAAGAGAGAGATGCAGAGAGAGAGGGAGACACAGAATCCGAAGCAGGCTCCAGGCTCTGAGCTATCAGCACAGAACTTGACATGGAGCTTGAACTCGCGAACCATGAGATCATGACCTGAGTGAAGTCGGGCGCTTAATCGACTGAGCCACCCAGGCGACCCCCTTGGCCCCAGTCTTAACGTAGATTGGGAAGAGAGGTGGCTGGTGGCTGGTGGTGGCAGCTAGCAGGGCCTGCGTGGGATGCCCTTGGTGTCTGCGGCCCTCTGTAGAATGTAGGCACTAGTATTTGTCTGTTTTGGGACCTCTGTCAGTAATTCAGGGGCAAGAATGAAAGCCCCACTCACCTCCTGCCATGTCCTCTGACATGTTATGAGGCAGGGGTGTCCCTGCTGCTCCCAAGGAACTCCTTCTAGGAGGGGTGATGGGGGCACTGAACTTAGGCTTTAGGCAGAGTGACCTGCAACGTCCTCTGTTTTACACGTGGCCTCCCTTAAGTAAGATTTCACTCGGAGCAAAAGGTTTTGTGACTAAAACGTGAAGACCACACTAGAGACCGGTTGTGGTGAGCCTGGGGTGGCTGGCGCCCTCAGATTGGACCTGAGAAAGATCACCAGTGATTGCAGTACAGAAAGCAGACCCGTGGGGGGTAGAGGGGGGTCTGAGGATGGCGAGGGGAGGACAGCTTTAAGAAGCACTTAGGCAGTGGTGCTGGTTAGACCTGGGGAGGGTGGGGGGGGGAGTGGGACATGGTGGGGAGGGAGGAGCCTGGGATAGTGCCCTTGTTCCTGGTGTGGGTGACAGGTGCTGGACACGGGAGGAGGAGGCAGTGTGGGGGAGGGGCAGTGGGCTCCATGTGGACATCCTTGTTGACATGGGTGTCAAAACCATGTCATCTAGGGGTGCCTGGGTGGCTTAGTCAGTTAAGCGTACGACTTTCGCTTAGGTCATGATCTCACGGTTCGTGGGTTCGAGCCCCACGTCGGGCTCTGTGCTGACTGCCAGCTCAGAGCCTGGAGCCTGTTTCAGTCTGTGACTCCCTCTCTCTCTGACCCTCCCCTGCTCACGCTGTCTCTCTCTCTCTCCTAGAAATAAATAAAACATTAAAAAAAATTAAAAAACAAAACAAAACAAAAAAAACCCATGTCATCTAGAATTAATGTGCCCTTGGCCTTTACAGCGCCACGTGTTCTCCCTGCCACAGGACCACAGGAAAGGAAGCTGGTTTGAAAGCAGCGGGAATAGCAGATGAGTCTGTGTAGGGTGTCCAGTGAGATTTTCCAGATGAAACTAGGAGGGTTTCCTTTGGCTCCAGCGTACTGGGCACCCTGGGTGGGGTCAGCCCCGTCTCTGGGGAAGCTTTGGGTCAGTAGGGGCCTGCCTGCCTGCAGGTAGAAGGGTCATGTGTCCCTTTCACACACTGAGTTGGCTGGGCTTGGTGTCTGCTCTTTGAGAAAGGTTTCTGAGGCTGACAGCTTGGGAAGAATGTGGGCTCACGGGAGAGCAGATGTGCTGAGGCCAGAAGGCTCTCTGAGGCTTCTGAAGTGGATAGCCGAGTAGCCTGCAGGACTTGGTGATGAGGTTTTGGGGGGATGGTGGGGTTCAGAGCTGACGGCCAAGAAAGAATTCTTGAAGACATCTTTGGTGCCAAAGGTGATTTTATTAAAGCACAGGGACAGGACCCGTGAGCAGGAAGAGCTGCACTGGGGCTGTGCAGAGTGACTGCTTATATGGGGGGGGGGGGGAGGGGGAGGGAAGGGGGGGAGAGTGAAGAGGAAGTTTCTTAAAGAGATTTCCATATGCTAAAGAGGATTTGCAGATGATTGGAGGCCTAGCTCTTGTCCAGCTAAGGTTGTTTTTCCCTCTAGCAAAGCATTAGCATTAAGATAGTAGGGAGTTCCTGGAGATTAGGTGATTGATGAGATTGATGAGATATTTGTAAACTGTTGGAGATGGCTATCAGTTTAACCATTTGTTTTCTGTCCTTTCCTTTGTCCTTGGGCACATGTTCCACCTGGAAGGGGTGGGGGTTGGGCTAGCCTGTGCTTGGCCCACAGTTTGCCTTATGGTCTTTCATCACTTAATGTTATTTCTCTCTCTCTCTTTTAATCTTTATTTATTTTTGAGTGAGAGAAAGTGTGTGTGGGGGGAGGGGTTGGTGGAGAGAGAGAAGGAGACACAGAATCCAAAGCAGGCTCCAGGCTCTGAGCTATCAGCACAGAGCCTGATGTGGGGCTCGAACCCGTGGACTACGAGATCATGACCTGAGCCAAAGCTGGACACTTAACTGACTGAGCCACCCAGGCACCTGTTTCTTTCTCTTTTTAAAAAAAATATTAATTTACTTATTTTGAGAGAGAGTGTGCCTGCACGTGGGGAAGGGCCAGAGAGAGAAGGAGAGAGAATCTCACGCAGGCTCCATGCTGTGGGTTCAGAGCATGACTTGGGCTCAATCTCACGAACCATGAGATTATGACCTGAACTGAAATCAAGAGTTGGACACTTAACTGACTGAGCCACGCAGGAGCCCCAAAAGTTATTTCTTTTCTTTTTTTTTTTTTTAAATGTTTTATTTATTTCTAGGAGAGAGAGAGAGAGAGACAGCGTGAGCAGGGGAGGGTTAGAGAGAGAGGGAGTCACAGACTGAAACAGGCTCCAGGCTCTGAGCTGGCAGTCAGCACAGAGCCCGACGCGGGGCTCGAACCCACGAACCGCGAGATCATGACCCGAGCGAAAGTCGGACGCTTAACCAACTACGCCACCCGGGCGCCCCGTCAAAAGTTATTTCTGAGTCCAACTTAGGGCCAGAGGAGTTTTAGAACTAGGTTTGACCTTTGAAATTACATAGATCAGCATTTCCCATGAAACACTTACGGAAAAAAGAGACCTCTACACAGATCACATTGGAAACAACAGTTTATACAGTGTTAGTGGGTTTTGTTTGTTTTCTTGAGATTATGCCTAGGTTTTATTTTTACTAAATATCACAAGTAGATTTGCAACCCATACTCATAGTAAACATGTAGCTACTGTGTTGGTTATTACAAGCATCTGAGTTACAAAAATGTGGCCCAAGGAACCTCTGGAAGAGTTGCAGCAGCTCCCCAGAAACACACTTTGCGAGTAGTTTTAGACTGGCCTGTTTTATTGGCTGTTTTCCAACTGGTTTATAAATTATCATTTGATACCATGGTTTTCTAACCTCTTGACTGACACTCTGGTCCTCTTTCCTTGGAACAGATTTTGTAATTTTGTTGCTGTAAGTTTTATTGCGATATAAGGGACATAGAGACCATGTACAGTTTATACAATGTGTTAATTTGACACACGTGTATATTGTGAAGTGGTCACCAAACAATTAATTGGCACCTCAAAAGTAATTACCATTTTCTGGCGTGGTGGTGAGAACACTTAACACCTGCTCTCCCAGCAACTTTCAAGTATGTAATACAGTATTTTTTAAAATTATTTTTTATTTTATTTTATTTTATTTATTTTTTTAATGTTTTGTATTTATTTCTAGGGGAGAGAGAGAGACAGCTTGAGCAGGGGAGGGTCAGAGAGAGAGGGAGTCACAGACTGAAACAGGCTCCAGGCTCTGAGCTGGCAGTCAGCACAGAGCCCGATGCGGGGCTCGAACCCACGAACCGCGAGATCATGACCTAAGCGAAAGTCGGAAAGTCGGACGCTTAACCGACTAAGCCACCCAGGCGCCCCTAAAATTATTTTTTAACATGTATTTATTTTTGAGAGACAGAGCATAAGCAGGGGGAGGGGCAGAGAGAGGGAGAGGGAGAGGGACACAGAATCCTCAGCAGGTTCTGGGCTCTGAAAAGTCAGCACAGAACTTGACGTGGCACTTGAACCCACAGACATTGAGATCATGACCTGAGCCAAAGGGGGAGGCTTAACCGATGGAGCCACTCAGGCACCCCTCTATACAGTATTGTTAACTAAAGTCCCCATGTTGTACATTAGATCCCAGAATTTGTGCCTCTTATATCTGGAAGTTTGTACCCCTTTGACCAATATCTCCCATTTTCCCCAGCCCCTGTAACCACCGTTCCACTCTCTGTTGCTCTGAATTTGGCCTTTATAGATTCTACATATAAGTGAGATCAGGCAGTATTTGTCTTTCTCTATCTGACTTACATCATGCCTTGGAAATACTGTGGGTTTGGTTCCAAAGCTCTGCAATAAAGCAAATAGTGCAATGAAGCCACTCAAATGACTTTTGTGGTGCATATAAAAGTTCTGTTTTGGAGCACCTGGGTGGCTCAGTCGGTTAGGCGTCCGACTTCGGCTCAGGTCATGATCTCACGGTTTGTGGGCTCAAGCCCTGCATCAGGCTCTGTGCTGACAGCTCAGAGCCTGGAGCCTATTTCAGATTCTGTGTCTCCCTCTCTCTCTGACCCTACCCTGCTCACGTTGTCTCTCTCTCTCTCTCTCTCAGAAATAAAACATTAAAAAAATAAATAAAAGTTCTGTTTAGACTATACTGTAGTCTATTAAATGTACAATAGCATTACGTCTAAAAAAAATGGATGTACCTTAATTTAAAATACTTGAGTACTATGGCACCCGAGTGGCTCAGTTGGGTGAACATCTAACTTTGGCTCAGGTCCTGATCTCACGGTTCATGGGTTTGAGCCCTGCGTTGGGCTGTCTGCTCTCAGCACAGAGACTGCTTTTGACCATTTGTACCCCTCTCTCTCTGCCCCTCCCCCACTCTTTTTCTCTAAAAAAATAAACATTAAAAAAATTTTAGAAAAGTACTTTATTACTTAGCAATGCTACCCATCATCTGAGCTTTCAGTGAGTCATAGTCGCTGATCACAGATCACCATAATAATACACATAATAATAATAATGAAAAGGTTAGAAATTTTGTGAGAGTTACCAAAATGTGATAGAGACATGAATTGGCCAGATGCTGTTGGAAATCTGTCACTGATAGACTTGCCCGATGTGGCAACTGCCGCAAATGTTTTGTAAAAAAAAAAAAAAAAAAAAAAAGGCAGTATCTTTGAAGCAAAATAAGGTGAAGCACAATAAGATGAGGCATTCCTGTATTTTGCTTAGCATAACACGCTCAAGGTCCACCCATGTTGTCACAAATGGCAAGATGCCCTTCTTTCTCATGATTGAAACCATGCCACGTTTTCTTTACCCGTTCATCTGTCGGTGGGCACTTAGGTTGTTTCGTGTCTTGGCTACTGTGAGTAATGTTGCAAGGAACGTAGGAGATAACCCTTTCTCAAAATAGTGATTTCATTTCCTCTGGGTATATACCAAGAAGTGAGATGGCTGGATCATATGGTAGTTCTATTTTTAAGTTTTTGAAAAAACTCCATACTGTTCTCGAGCAGATTTTTGTTTTACCGCAAGACCTTCTTGAGCCTCTACTTGGTAATCCACATTGTCAATTTCTGAGACAAGAATATCATGTACAGCTTCCCCTGTGTACTTGATGCTCTGAAGCCTTTTATCACAGTGCGTTGTGAGGATCATTGAGTTTCCTAGAACACACTTTGGGAAATATAGGAATGATCTTTGTTTCTTTGTTTTTCAAGGAAACCCAAATTTTTCATACTATAACTTTGGACCTGGAATTTCAGTGAGCCTCCGTTCAAGTGGTGTCCTGTTCTCCCTACCTGTCTACATCAGAATTCCTCAGAATTTATTTCCTGATGACAACAAATAGGCTCTATGTGGGCAATTTTATTCTTTTTTAAAAGAAGGTGTTAAAATTCTGGTGGTCTCCAAAAATAATAGGATATAATTATAACATACCATTATATAATAAAAAGGCTATCCATTCAATCATAATATAATTATAATATATAATAATACAAGGCTGTCTGCTCTCCCTCCCCCTACTGGGCATACCCTGGATTTACACAGTTCTGTGTCAAGGGGATTAGATGCCAGTCTTTGTGCACCCAGAGAAGTGCACACAGGTGCCTTGGGGTAAGCGGATGTCCTTGCTCAGATGCAGCATGCGGTCTCATGATTCAGTGGCTCTGCCTTTCTCTTATTACGAGCCTTCTAACTCCTTATTCAAGTTCTTACTTGCCAGTCTCTCTGAATGCCCACATGTCCGTCTCACTCACTGTTCTTGATTATCTTTTTTCCCTTAAGTTTATATTTATTTACTTTGAGAGAGAGAGATAGTTAGCAAGCTTGGGAGGGGCAGAGAGAGAGAGACAGACAGACAGACAGACTCGAGCAGGCTCCACACTGCCAACGCAGAGCCCAACGTAGGGCTCAAGCCACAAATCATGAGATCATGACCCAAGCTGAAATCTAGAGTCGGACACCTAACCAACTGAACCATCCAGGCACCTCTCTGGATTATCTATTTAAGTTTGTTTGCTAAGCCACATTTTGAGAAACAAAAAAACAAAATGAAAAAACCAAAATCAAAACAAAAATACCAAACTTTCTTCCCTGGGGAAAGAATATACTAGGATATTATCATATAGCATACATATTCTATATAGCAGTTTTCTCCTCCCTTTCTTTCAGGAACTAGATGCATTTCAGCCCTATCCTGTTGAAATAGTTCCAGGTAAGATCTACCTGGGCAATTTCAGGCAAGCCTGCGACCCGAAAATTCAGAAGGACTTGAAAATCAAAGCACATGTCAACGTCTCCATGGAGGCAGGGCCATTGTAAGTAGAAATACTATTGATTTTTTAAAAATTAAGTATATATATATATAAGATTCCCAGTGCTGTGCATTTGTAGAGCTGAAGGTTCTGTACTTATCATCATCTGTTCCTGGCTTATAGTCTATTTCCTGGCTTGGCCGTGGCATCCTCTGCCTCTAACTGAGACTCATTACTTGCCCTTTAAATCTCACCACAATCAGGGGCGCCTGGGTGGCTCAGCTGTTAAGCGTCCAACTTTGGCTCAGGTCATGATCTCACAGTTTATGGGTTTGAGCTCTGCATTGGACTCTGTGCTGACCGCTAGCTCAGAGCCTGGAGCCTGCTTCAGATTCTGTGTCTCCTTCTCTCTCTGACCCTCCCCTGCTCATGCTGTCTCTCTCTCTCTCAGAAATAAATAAAACATTTAAAATTTTTTAAAAAATAAAGTACACAATTTGGTTGCTGTTGACACTAGTGTATACCCACAAAACCATCACTGGGTCCTGTGTTTCCCTCTCTCTCTCTGCCCCTCCCCCACTTATACTCTGTCCCTCTCTGTCTCAAAAATAAATAAAACATAAAAAAAATTAAAATGAATGTGCCCATAAAAAAATGTCTCACCACAGTTAATGCTTTCCAGGCATGTAACGTTATGGAGCAAAGTACCTGTTTTGCCCTGCTTCACTTATCTCAGGCCCTCTGAGAAATGACCCCTGCCTTAATCTCTGGGGACTGCTATAGCATAGCTAATACCATAGACTGATGGTTCTGGTGGGTCATAAAATAACTTTACTTTCTCATGGTGTGGAGGCTGGGGAAGTCCAAGATCAAGCCGATTTTGACCCTGCAGTCTGCCTGTTTCCTGATTCATAGTTACTCCTATTTTTACTATGTCCTCACAGCGTAAGGGGCAAGGACTGATCTGGGGCCTTTTTTTTTTTTTTTTTTTTTTTTTTTTTTTTTTTTTTTTTTTTTTTTTTTTTTTTTTTTTTTTACAAGGGTGTTAATCCCATCCATGAGAGCTCTACCCTCCTGACTGATTTACAGTCTCATTTTAAACAGTCCCCAGATCCCAGAACAAAACCTGAAAACAAGAGCTTTCAGACAATGGCCAGCAGACAGCATAGGAGATTGATTCCAGAGACAAGGGGAAAAAAACCCAGATGAGCCCCTTAGTTGATCCAGTTTATTGGTTGGCGGCTGTTCGCAGGTCACGGTACAGGAAGGGGGCCAAGACAGATTGTGTCGTTCTTTCTGAGTTGAGGGTAGAAAGTTGAGAATTCGGAGAGACCAAGTTAGCTAGAATTTGCAGAAGACATCTGCATGGAGAATAGAGAGCTGGATATAAAGAAACAGCTCTTGGGGTGCCTGGGGGGCTCAGTCGGTTCGGTGGACGACTTCAGCTCAGGTCATGATCTCATGGTTCATAAGTCTGAGCCCTGCGTCAGGCTCTGTGCTGACAGCTCAGAGCCTGGAGCGTGCTTCTGATTCTGTGTCTCCTTCTCTCTCTGCCCTTCCCCTGTTTACACTCTCTCTCTCTTAAATAAACGTTAAAAATTTAAAAAAAAAAAAAAATAAAAGCTCTTGGGGCACCTGGGCTGCTTAGTCGGTTATAGCTCTCTCAACAGACAATAGGTTATAATTTCAAAGACTAGAATAACACTACCATCCAAATTTGCCTAATTGGCAATTATAGGACACTCTACCCAATAACAGTAGCATTCTTCTGGTCTTTGGATGAATTCTATAGTACACATTCTTTTCAAAGGAACATGGAACTTTTTTTTTTTTTTTTTGGCAAGATAGTCTATTCTTGACATCAAAACAAGTATCAAAAATAATTTGTTTTAAAAAATTATGTTCTCTGACTACAGTGGAATTAAGTTAGAAACCAATAACAAGACATCTTGGAAAAATTCCAGATGCTTGGAAATGAAGTAACACACTTCTAAGTAGCCTGTGGCTCAAAGAGAAACCAAAAGGGAAGTTAGAAAGTATTTTCAACTGAATGAAAATAAAAACACCATGTATCAAAATTTGCAGATGCATCTACTGCAGTACAGAGAGGGAAATTTATAGCCTAAATGCCTATATTTGAAGAATCTCAAATCAAGGACCTAAACTTCCACCTTAAAAAAATTAGAAAAAGTAAGCAGGGGGAAGGAAATGCTTAAGAGCAGAAATAAGTGAAATAGAAAACAAAACAATTGGAGCTGCTCAATGAAACCCAAAGCTGGCTCTCTGAAAAGAGCAACAATATCATTCCACACCGATCAAACAAGAAGAGAGAGAAGACAAAACCCATCAATATTAGCTGTAAAAGAAGGGACATTTTCATTATGGATCCTACAAATGTTAAAAGGCATTCTGTGGGCATTTATCCCACAGACGTGAAAACCTGTACATGAATGTCCATAATGGCTATTTAGCAGGTGAATGGTTATGTGACTGTAGGGCACACATACCATGGAATACTACTCAGTAATAAATGGAATGGACTATTGGTTTATGCACCAATGTGGGTAAATCTTCAGGGAATTAACCCCAAGCTAATGACGATAATGAGGATAACAATAACGAGGATAATAATAATCAATCCCAAAATATTACATATTGTTCCATTTGTATGGCATTTTTGGTATCACAACATTTTAGAAATAAATGCCAGGTTAGTGGTTGTCAGAAATTAGGGAAGCACAGAGCGGGGCAGGTATGGTTACAAAAAGGCAAACATGAGGAGTCCCAGTGTTAGAGCTGTTAAGTATTTTTTTTAAGTTTCTTTTTAACGTTTGTTTATTTTTGAGAGACAGAGAGACAGAGCATGAGCAGGGGAAGGGCAGAGAGAGAAGGAGACACAGAATCTGAAGCAAGTCCCAGGCTCCGAGCTGTCAGCACAGAGACCACCGCAGGGCTCGAACTCCCGAACTGTGAGATCATGACCTGAGCCGAAGTCGGGCGCTTAACCAACTGAGACACCCAGGCACCCCATAAAGTTTCTTTATATTGAGAGAGAGAGCACATGTGCAAGCAGGGGAGGGACAGAGAGAGAGGGTGACAGAAAATCCCAAGCAGTCCCTGCACTGATAGCACAGGGATCAATCCCATGAGCCTGTGAGATCATGATCTGAACTGAAACAGAGTCAGATGCTAAATCAGCTGAGCCCCTGAGGTGCCCCAGAACTGTTCAGTATTTTGACTGGTGTCTCCTGGATACATAAATCCACACAGGTGATAAATTTGTATAGAACTTATTACATGCACGTGCGTGCACACACACACACACACACACACACACTACAAGCGAAACAGGAAATCTGAATACAGTTACTAGATTGCATCAGCATCAATATTCTGGGCTATTATACGATAGTTTTGCAGAATGTTATCAGTGGGGAAACTAAGCAAAGCAAACCCTGGATCTCTCTGTATTATTTCTTATAACTGCGCGTGAATCTATAGTGACTGCAGTAAAAGTTTTAATTAAAAATTCAAAAATAATTAGGAAATATTATGAGCAATTTTATGCCAACGCATTTGAAATTTAAATAAATGAACCAATTCCTTGAAAGACTCAAGCTATCAAATCACCAAATAAGAAATAGATCACCTTGGGACATCTGGGTGGCTCATTTGGTTAAGCATCTGACTCTTTGTTTCAGCTCAGGTCGTGATCTAATGGTTTGTGAGATCGAGCCTTACAGCAGGCTCCCGGGGGCGGGGCTTGATCCCATGACCCTGGGATCATGACCTGAGCCAGAATCAGGAGTCAGATGCTCAACCAATTGAACCACCCAGGTACCCATGATCCATTTTGAAATAATTCTTGCATATGGTGCCAGATGTAGAACTAAGTTCATTGTTTTGGGTTTTTTTTGTTTTGTTTTAAGTAGGGTCTGTGCCCGATTTGGGGCTTGAACTCACGGGCCTTGAGATCAAGAGTTGGCGTGCTCCGTATAGGAGGATTAGGAGGAACTTAACAGAGGACCAAGGGGGAGAAGAAGGGGAGAAATGGTGGGGGAAAGGGAGGGAGGCAAACCATGAGAAACTCTTGAATGCTGACAAAAACTGAGAACTGATGGATGGAGGGGGGAGGGGGGATGGGCATGGAGGAGGGTTTTTTTGGGGATGAGCACTTTGTGTTATGTGGAAACTAATTTGACAATAAACTATTTGTAAAAAAAAAAAAAAAAAAAAAAAGAGTTGGTGTGCTCTACCAACTGGCTCTAAGCCAGCCAGGGACCCCCATTGTTTTGCATATGGAGGCCATTATTTGTTAGAAAAAAAAATTGATCCTTGTCCTGTTGGACTGATTGGATACTTTTGTTGAAAATCCATTGTGTGGGTTCTTTATTCTTTTTCACTGGTCTGTGTTTTTATACCAATTCTGCACTCTTGACTATTGTAGCTTTATAATAAATCTTGAAATCAGGTAGAGCTAGTTCTCTTATTTTGGTCTTTTTCAAAGTTGTCTCCTTTGCATTTCCACATACGTTTTAATTTTTTTTTAATGTTCACTCATTTTTGAGAGAGAGAGAGAGAGGCAGAGAGAAAGGGAGACACAGAATCCGAAGCAGGCTCCAGGCTCTGAGCTGTCAGCACAGAGCCCAATGCTGGGCTAGAACTCATGAACTGTAACATCATCATGACCTGAGTCGAAGTTGGATGCCAACCAACTGAGCCACCCAAGTGCCCCTCTACATACATTTTAGAATCAGCTTGCCAGTTTCTGCAAAAAGCCTGCTGAAATTTTGATTGGGTTGAATTGTATCCATATTAGTTTGGTGAGAATCTTACCAACGTTGACTCCTGATTCATGAGCATGGTCTATCTCTCCATTTAGTTAGCTCTCTCATTTTCCTCAAAAATGTTTTATAATTTCCAGTGTACACATCTTACACACCTTGTGCCAGATTTCTTCCTAAGTATTTGGTATTTTTGAAGTGGTTGTAAATGGTATTTTTAAAATGTCAATTTCTGATTGTTCATTGCTAGTATATAGAAATACAGTTGATTTTTATATAGTAACCTTGTACGCTTCCACCTTCTCCATCTAGATGCCTCCTACATTGTGAAGCTTTCCCCAGCTCCCTCAACTTCTCCCTGCCCTTCTTCTCCAGTATCACATGCAGATCTTTATCCCCAAACCTAGCCAATTGGATTGGGGCCATTTGTTTCTGTGTCTGCCTACCCCATCAGACTGGGAGCTCCTTGATGCTGGCAGAGGCCAGCCCCTATTTGGTTCATCTTGTGCCCACCAGGGTCCAGCCCAAGGTCTGGCACACAATAGGCATTGAGTGAGCATCTGAGGAAAGAATGAATAGGTGGGTGGGGCGCCTGGGTGGCTTGGTCGGTTAAGTGGCCGACTTTCGCTTAGGTCATGATCTCTCGGTTCGTGGGTTCAAGCCCCGCATCGGGCTCTGTGCTGACTGCCAGCTCAGAGCCTGGAGCCTGTTTCAGTCTGTGACTCCATCTCTCTCTGACCCTCTCCTGCTCACGCTGTCTCTCTCTCTCTCCTAGAAATAAATAAAAACATTAAAAAAATTAAAAAATGAATAGGTGGGTGTGGATGGATGGATGGATGGATAGATGGGGGAGGAAGAAGGGGAGGGAGGGATAGATGAAGGAGGTAAGGAGGGACCGATGGATGGATGGGAATTGTATTTGCTAAACCAGCTTATTTTTGTTTCTGAATCCGCTGCACTTCCTGTATGCCACAGTGGTCTGCATACTACTCAAGGCCACCAGTAGACCACAGTCTTTGTAAATAACATCGACCAAGTACGTACTGCATGCTGGATATTCTGCAAGCTGCTTGCAGGCTCATTAAACGTGCCACACACCTCCTCTCCTCTCTCTCTCTCCCTTGTTCGTAAAGTTCTAACCACTCTGAGCTCACTGTTGGTTCTCAAACCCATTAAACTTACTACCTCTCTGCACCTTTGCCCAGTCTTTCCCCAGATGACTGCCTGGTTTCTTCCATCATCATCTCTTTTAAGCCTCTGCTCAAACATCAACTCCTTAGTGAAGCTTTCCCTGACCGCTAAAACAGCCACCCCACCCCTCTCCATTTCTTCCCTGGGGCTCTCTCCATTTAACATGGCAGGTGCTTTCTCCAAGCTCATTACCTATTCCTTCCCAGCCTCATTTTACTTTGTGCTCCATATTCTATCTAGGAAAGTACCATGTTTGGTTAATAATAATGATGATGTCACGTTTATTGAGGATTCACTCAATAAGTGTGCCAAGCAGACTGCCAAATGCTTTACATAGATTAACGGACTTCACCCACACTACACACCTATTGGGTAGGGGCTTTTTTTTTTTCTGTGAGAGGTCCAGTTATTTGCCCACCCCTCCCAGATGCTAGCTCAGCATCCCCTCCCTGTGGTCATGCTGCTGTGAATGAGGACCACTCCGGCAAGCCTGTGTGTGAATCTGCCTGAGTACCTGTGCTTTTCTTCCATTTAGTTTTGTAGATGATGCTGACAACCTCCTGCATATCAAGATAGAAGATTCCCCGGAAGCTGACCTTTCCCCCTTTTTAAGGCACCTCTGCCACTTTCTCGGTAAGGGGCAATCTCCAACCAGGCAGCCACCGGCCTGTGCCCAGGGGCCAGAGGGGCAATGGCACCTTGTCCACATTGCCTGTTCCTGATTGTGACTGCCAGCACTGAGGGGTGGGGCCCAGCCAGGTATGGCCAAGCCCCGGAACAAGCTGTCCCTCAGGAGCCCTTGGCAATGTGGGTAGCCATGTGTTTACCTCGGGGGTAGAGGGGCCAGGTAAGAGCACTGGATTGCAGACTAAATGCCCTGCATTCTGGCCCTGGCTGGACCGCTAGGCCCTTTTGGGTCCACCTAAGCCCTGGCCCTGGCCTCACTGCACCTGTTGGGAAATGAGAGTGCTGGCCCCCTGTGGGTGCATACATTCAGGGCGGTCTGCTCTGAGCTGGGCTCTGGGAACCCAGAGGTGAATCACATTCCATCTCTGCCCTCCTATCTGGTCAGTGGGGTGAGGTGGATGGAAAATTCCAAAACCCTCCCAGCTCTGACTTCTAGGATCCCCAGTGTGTGTGCCCAGTGTTCCTTTGGTTCGTCCATCACACATGGCAGTGACCACCAATCACTCACTGAGGGTGCAGTTTTCAGTCATCCCGGGGCTCAGGATTGCCCAAGGAGAGCAAGATTCCTGGAGAGAGTGAGGTTGTGTCCAGTCAGGGGCCCCACCCCAGGGCTGCCTGCCAGGTATCAATGCAGCCCCCAGCCCACGTGGTTGCCCAGGGGGGGCCGGAGAACTGCTTTTTGGCCCAAAAATCCTTATTTGCCTGGGAGGTTGCAACTATCACTTGACCAGTATCTGAGGCTGGGACTTGCCCTGTGTCCCACCATGGGATGGCAGAGCCCTGTGCCGCAGAGGCCCCCTCTCCAGTCCTACCTTGGTGTATGGCTCTGGGCCAGTCCTTAACCACTCTGTGCCTCTGTTTCCTTATCCATATGATGAGGCACTTGGCCTTAGCCATCTTGGGGTCTTCCTCCAGCACTGACGGTCTGTGATTTTGCATGTGGTATATTTATCTCTAGTTCTCAGGGATCACCCGATCAGCCCCAGATGTGGGCTTAGATTTCCTCCCCACCCCTCACTGGGTGAGACTCAGCCTCAGGGGCATTAATAAGTGTGATCATAGCTGACCTCTCTGTGTCAGGCACTGGGCTAAGCACGGTACAAAACCTTATGAGGTAGATAGTATCCTGTCACCCCGTTTTCTAGATGATGCAACTGTGCCTTAGAGTAACATATTGGGACCCCACAGCCAGTGAGTGGCAGGGCTGGGATTCACACCCAGGCCACACTGCCTCTGTCAGCACCCATGTGCCCTGGGGGGGGACCATCTTCTCATCCCACCCAGGAGGCCAGCTGGTAACCGAGCTTCCTGGGCTAGAAATGTGGAGAGCCAAGAAAAGACCTTTGCATGATAACGCTGACGGCCCCAGTGTGATCCTCTTGAACTGCCAGTGAGGTCTGAGGATCCCCATGTGTCAGGTGACAAAACAGTGTCCAGAGATGTCATATGACTAACCTAGGCCATGGTGTGCTGGGTCTGAATTCACTCATGGACCATGGAGCCACTGGAGCCAGTCAGCTTACAGCAACTCAGGTCCACAGGGAACGAGGCCATGCATGGTCCCCCACCATTCCTTCCTATTGCAGAAATTCACCTCCACCTTGGCTCTGTAGTCCTGGTCTTCTCCACCCTGGGCATCAGTCGCAGCTGTGCAGCCATCTTGGCCTTCCTCATGCACTGGAACGAGCAGACCTTGAAGGTATGCAGCCCCCAGGCGAGGATCAGACTGCAGCTACCTCCAGCAGGCAAGGTCAGAGCTGGACCTGGGAGGAAGTGGGCCCAGGCACTACCTTAGGGCCCTCACTGGGGGATGGGAAGGAGAAGGGTCAGGGAAGAGAGCTCTAAGTCTAGGACTTTACCCAGCATACCACACCCAAGGGCCAGAGGTCTGGGCCAGAAGCTGAGGCTGTGACATTAGAGGTCTGAGGTATGGGGCAGTCCCAGGGGCTCAGGCTGGGCAAGGCCATGGCCAGCCACACCATTGTCACGTCCCCCCTCAGTCTGACTATTGACGTTTGTTCAGCCTTCTCCAAATGAGGTACGTTTGGCTACTGTTTGGAGCCAGAGACTTGCTGTGCCCACAGGGCTTCAAGGGCACCTACTCTATCTTTACCCAGACTGGAGAAGGGGGCAGAGACCTCTCGCCACAAACCCCATGGAACCAGGGCTCCTGATGCCGAGGGCAGTGCCTTCTGAGTGTGCTGGGAGATGGCAGGCCTGCCCCAAGGGGAGTAACAACTTGTGCATGATTTCTGAGGGCTTGAGTAGGACCCACCAAGCTCCCATATATGCCCAAGTCTGTGCTTGGAAGAAGGGGAGCATCAGAGGATGACCATGGTCAGAGCCTACTGCCAGTGATTTTGGATATTGACCCCACGTGCTCTTTGCGGGTGAAATTGCAAGCTAGAAGGAGTCCAGGATGGCCAAGAATTCCGCTTGTGGGTACATACCCGATAGAAGTGAAAGCAAAGACTCAGATGTTCATAGAATCATGTTCTTGGCAGCAGCACGGACAGTAGCCGGGAGGGGGGAGTGACCCAAATGTCCATCGGCAGCTAGGAAAACAAGTGGATGGTCTAGCCACACAATGGAATATTACTCAGCTGTGTAAAGGAAGGACATTTTGACACCTGCTGCAGCACGCATGAGCCTGGAGGACATTGTGCTGAGTGGAATAAGCCAATCACAAAAGGACAAATACCATATGATTCTACTGATGTGAGGTACCCGGAGCCGTCAAAATCACAGACGGGGAGGTGGAATGGTGGGTGCCCAGGGCAGGGGGCAGCGGGAATGGGGAGCTGTTTAATGGACATGGAGCTTCGGTTTGGGAAGATGGAAAAGCTCTGGAGATGGATGACCATGCTGGTTCTGTGACGCGGTGAACGTGCCTAAGGCCGCCGAGCTGTACATCCAAACATGGCTATGGTGGTAAGTTTTCTGTCCTGCGTATTTTTACCACAATTCAAAAAGAAAAGCCTCTGGATGCAGAATCGCAGAATCTCTGGAGTAAGAGAACCAGACCGCTGTTCTCACCCCGGGCAAGGTGGATTGTAGGAGGTCATTGCCTGCTGGAGTGTTTCGGTGCATGCTGCAGGGGAGGGCGTGTTGTTGCTGGTAAATCTGGGGAGGGAAGCCTGTTCCGTTGCTTCTGAAGAGCTGCCTCTCCAGCCACCTTCCCAGGAATGGGCTCTGGGCTGCAAAGGGCCCCCTTCTCCCCTGCCTTGTTGAGCTGGAATGTGGACGGAGCTGGCAGAAGGCGTGGCGAGCTCACTGCCTGCAGGGGGAGGTCCAGGACGGGAGCTCCTCAGGAGTTCAAATGGGGCCAATGAAGGGGGGCGGGAAGGCGTGGCGAGCTCACTGCCTGCAGGGGGAGGTCCAGGACGGGAGCTCCTCAGGAGTTCAAATGGGGCCAATGAAGGGGGGCGGGGGAGTGGCTGGCCTGCTGGGGTCCCTGGTTTCTTTACTGCTCACAGTGACGTTTGGGAACACAAACCTTGCAGCTCTGACATTTAGTGACGTTTCCCAGCCCTGACAAGCATGTCACCGTCCTCTCTGCTCCCAGGCTTCCAGAGCTGGCTGGGTGAGTGCGAGAGGGAGGGGACACCCACCTGGCCCCTCTGAGTTCTCCAGCAGCGAGGGCCCGGCCCCCTGAGCACCTGTAGACCTGTACGGGTCCCCGCATAACTCCAGTAGGGAGCGCCAGGGCCTGTCCTGCTCAGTGCGAGTTCAGGTGCTTGGGTCCCTGAAGGACCCGAGTCCTTCTCTCAGTAGGAACCTGGGGGTAGTTATCTGTATCATGTGCAAGGGCGTCCCGTTGCTGGGGGTTCTGCCCTGAGATGCCATCTAGGTAACTCTTGACAAAAAACGCTACACAGTTCCCAGAGCTGCCGGCAGCAAGGACTGCCACTGTGATCCTGCTGGGTCCTTTTCAGACTGAGTCAGTCCTGTGTAGCAGTTAGGTTTTCCTCACCATTACCAAGCAATGCCTTGCATAGCTGACAGGGGTTGACCTGGGCTCAGCTCTGCTGCCGCCTGGGGTCAAGAGAGAGACATTCCCTCCTGTTGTCTGTGTGGCCCTAGGGTCCTCCTCCGAGCATTGGGGAAGCTGTGTTTCTGGCTATTGTCAACTCAGTTGTGATGGTCAGAGCCCATGGGCTTGGCGGAAAAAAAAAAAAAAAAGTGTGGGCCACACTTGGGCAATATACCACTTCCTGGGGCTTATGGTCCCAGCTCAGGTCACTGGGGCCCCAAGACCAGACGTGGGAAGTTAAGGGGTGAACCCACAGCCACCATGCTTGTCCTGGGCTTTCAAAGCTTTGGCACAAGGTTGTGTGGGATCCCAGAGCCAGCAAGCCCTTAAGAAATCTATTCCGGTTCCTTTAATCTGCTGAGAGTAATGTTGTCCCTTAAAAGATCTTCAGAGGGGCGCCTGGGTGGCTTAGTCGGTTAAGCGTCCTACTTTCGCTTGGGTCATGATCTCGCGGTTTGTGGGTTCGAGCCCCGCGTCGGGATCTGTGCTGACTGCCAGCTCAGAGCCTGGAGCCTGTTTCTGAGTCTATGTCTCCCTCTCTCTCTGACCCTCCCCTGCTCATGCTGTCTCTCTCTCTCTCTCCTAGAAATAAATAAAAAAATATTAAAAAAAAAAAAAAGATCTTCAGAGAAAAACAAAACAAAACCCAAATCCTGAGGCACTATAATGGCTAATATTGGCTGAGTGCCAGGCCTTTGTGAGGACACACACAATCACCCCACAGCATGTTGTTATCCCCATTTTGAAGGAGGCTTCTAGAGGCTGAGTAATTTGCCCAAGACCCCACAGCTGTAAGTGGCAGAGCTGGAATCTCTAGATTCCAGATAGATAGATAGAATCTAGATTCTATGTGGACATGATGTTGTTCATGGTATTCCTTTAGTATCCTTTTAATGTCCATGGGCTCTGTGGCGATGTCCCTTTTTCATTTCTGATATTAATGACTTATATCTTCCCTCCTTCCCTTAGTTAGCCTTGCTTGAGGCTTATCCATATTGATGATTTTTTTAATTTAAAAAATTAAAATTTTTTTTTAAATGTTTGTTTTTGAGAGACAGAGACAGAGCACAAGTGGGGGAGGGGCATAGAGAGGGGGCAACTCAGAATCCAAAGCAGGCTCCAGGCTCTGAGCTGTCCGCACAGAGCCTGATGTAGGGCTTAAACTCATGAACTGTGAGATCATTACCTGAGCCAAAGTCAGACACTTAACCAACTGAGCCACCCAGGAACCCATGATTTTTTTTTTCTCCCAAAAGAACCAGCTTTTTATGTCATTTTTTTTCTGTTTTGTTTTCAATTTCATTGATTTCTGCTTTAATTTTTATTATTTTTTCTCTACTTACGTTGGGCTTAATTTACTCTTATTAGTTTCCTAAGAAGGAAAACTTAGATGATTGATTTAGATGAACATTCATCTTGGTGAATGTTCCATTTGAGCTTGAGAAGAATGTATATTCTTTTCGATGGAATATTCTATAGATGTCAATTATATCTAGTTAATTGATGGTGCTGTTGAGTTCAACTATGGCCTTACTGATTTTCTGCCTGCCATATCTGTCCATTACTGATAGAGAGGTGATGAAATCTAGGATAGTGGATTCATCTATTTCTCCTTGCCTCACATATATTGATGTTGTTAGGTATGTATGTATATACACATTTTGTTTATCCCTTCATCTCTTGATGGGCCATTTGGGATACTTCTACCTTTTGTTTATTTTGTGAATAATGCTACTGTGAACATGGGTGTATGAATATCCTGCTTTCAGATTTTTTTCCTGCTTTATTCTTTATTAAGATATAATTGACATGTAACATCAGTTTCAGGTACACAACAATTATTCAGTGTTCTGTACATATTAGAAAATGATGACAGTAAGTTTTGTTAACATCCATCACCACATGTAGGTACAAATTTTTTTTCTTATGAGGAGAACTTTTAAGGTCTACTCTCTTAGTAACTTTAAATTATATAATACAACATTAACTATAGTTCCCATATTGTGTATATCCCTAGGACTTATTTTGTAACTGGAAGTTTGTACCTTTTGACCACTTTCACCGTTTTGCACACCTCTGGCCCCTATCTCTGGCAACACATTCCCTGTGTCTGAGTTCAGCTTTTGTGGTTTTGTTTTGTTTTGTTTTTGTTTTTAGGTTCCATATAAGTGAGACCATATGGTATTTGTCTTTCTTTGTCTGACTTCACTTACCATAATGCCTTCAAGGTCCATCAGTGTTGTTGTAAATAGTTGGATTCCTTCCTTTTTTGTGGTTGAATAGTATTCCATTGTGTGCTCCATTTCATTCCACATTGTCTTTATCCATTCATGCATCAGTGGCCACTTAGGTTGTTTCTATGTCTTGGTTATTGTAAATAATGCTGCAGTGAACAATGGGATACAGATAACTTTTTGGGTTAGTGTTTTTGTTTCCTTTTTAAAAAATACTTATTTTTATTCTTAAGAAAGTGCACATGTGTGAGCAGGGGAGGGGCAGAGAGAGGGGGACAGAGGATTCAAAGTGGGCTTCTCACCAACAGCAGAGAACCTGATATGGAGATCAAACTCACAAACTCTGAGATCATAACCTGAGCTGAAGTTGGATGGTTAACCAACAGAGCCACCCAGGTGCCCCATGTTTTTGTTTCCTTTGGATAAATACCCAGAAATGGAATTTCT